ACTACATGGGCTGAAAAGTCTCAGGATTTTTAATGAAAACAAGCGTTTTATGTGCAAAGTTATATTTATTCCTCAACATAGTTGCCTTCGAGGGCGATACACTTGGTATAGGGATTTTCCAATATTTCGATGCCCTTTCTGTAGTACGAAATGTCCAAGCCTTCGAAATACGCCTCGGTTTCCGCGATGACTTCCTCATTCGATGTGAATCTCTTTCCTTGGAGCCACCGCTTGAGGTTTGGGAACAGATAATAATTGCTGGGGGCCAAGTCTGGAGAATACGGTGGGTGAGCAACCAATTCGAATCGTAATTGGTCCAATTTGACCATCGCTTTCAAGGACGTGTGTGACGGTGGGTTATCGTGATGGTACAGAACTTTTTTCTTCGTCATATGGGGCCGTTTTTTTCTTTATTTCGTCGTTCAGTTTGTCCAATAACGCTGCTAATACTCTCCTGTAATTGTTCTTCCTTTCTGCAGGTCGTAATCGATGAAGATTATGCCATGCGCATCCCAAAAAACGAAGACCATAACCTTCCCGGCCGAACTTTGGTCTTTTGGCCGCTTTGGTCGGCTTTCGTGGCTTTTCAGCCACTCTGCAAACTGCCTATTGGACTCAGGCGTATGGTAATGGACCTACGTTTCATCCATCGTCACAAAACGTGGAAAAAAGTCCACTCGATTACGCTGCAACAACGCCAAACCGATCGTTGAATCATCAACGCGCTGCTGTTTTTGGTCGATGGTCAGCAAACGCGGCACCCATCGTGCCGATAGCTTTTTCATCTCCAAAACATCGTGCAAAATGTATTCCGCCCGTTCTTTTGAGATGCCCACGGCCTCAGTTAACTCGCGCAACTTCACTCAAAACGATTCGATGCACTTGCTTTGCGATTTCCGCATTCGTAGCCTCTTTTGGCCTTCCAGAGCGAGGTGCGTCTTCGGTGCTTGTACGACCCATTTTAAATTCACTAAACTGTTGTTCTCGAAGGAGCAGATGTGGGATAACATTTCTGCAACTATTTCAATGATTGTTCAGAAGTTTTTCCCATCAAAAAACAATGTTTGATCAAGATGCGATATTCCTGTTTTTCCATTTTTTTTACGAAGGTGAAAGTAACGCCACTTAAACGACTGTAGCTTGTAAACGAATGAACGAAATGTTATGAAACTTCATACATAAACTAGTGACAGATGAATCTCTCGAAATGAATCATGTTCATTTTCTAGTGGCATCACCTATTGAAAAATCCCGGGACTTTTCAGCCCATGTAGTAGTTCAAAATTTTACTGTCTATCAAAGTTGAGTATAAGCAAAAATGAATGCGTATTTTTATATTTTCATTCAAAACATCTTTGACAAACAACGTCAAAGGATCTATTTCATTATCAATATGTTCCTTTTCCATTTGAATTACGCATTATGATTCTTTCACGTGCAGCCTGATTGGATGACAAAATCACGCCGACTGCGACCATTGTTCTAGAATATTTCATTACTTCCAGTTGTCAGTCGTAGGGGGATGAGAGTAATTGCTAAAAGTTGTTCATCGTTAGTGTCTTTCGATAAGTATTGATATTGCTGCTTATGAGGTGAATGGTCAGTGTGGCCATCAAACCTCCAAGAACAAATTAACACTGCCTCGATTTCCGTAATTTTATTTTTCTGATAATAATATAGAATTACATCTGATTGTAAATCAATAATTTTGTTTGCAGTGTGATTTAAGAGTGCCTTGAAAACTAACTTCAACGTTGCTCTCAATAATGCTTATGAAATTTTTCGGTGGTCGATACAATTCCTTGGCAATTCGGACATAGTTATATGCCGGAAAAAATATCTGCACCTTAACTTACATAATTTTTCTTAGATAAACTTTGGTCTAGAAAATAAGCTAATGATCTGCTGTAAGCTTCTGTATACTTACTTTCGATTCTTCTAACCGCTTTCTTATTACAATTGAGCTGCTCTCTTGAATATATCTTATAATTCTAAACTAATCAGTTTCTCCAGACTGCCGCGCTGCGTGACGACAAACCATCAGTATTTTGTTTGGATCATGCTGTTGTTGAGCAGAAATTTCTGCTACTATTCGTCGTTGCGATCGACTGGACATTTCATCAAATAGTAGACATGGACGCCCTTTTTTGGAAGCTAGCATATATGAGCGCATATCATATTGCTGTAAGATCAAATCTAAAATGTGGAGTCTAATCATGATCCATTGGATTTAAACTTATATTTTATCTTTTTAACAGAGTTTTTGTTTACGTCTACTTTTTAGTGTCCTTATTACAGCTTTTATCTAATTTGTCCATGTAATATCTACATCACGTTTTTGCACATTCAATTTCCCTAATATATAGGTGATAGCTCCCTGAATATCAGTTTCAGAAGTTGCATTGCATTTGTTCAGAATATTCAGTATTTCGCGATTATTAAATTTTTTTTTTGATTCATTATAAATTATTTCTAAATTACTTTTAATAATAAAAAAGAAACGACTTTCTGTCAAGTTGGTATGATATGATTGACTAAAGAGTGGAAACTCTGTAGGTATACTTTAATTTATTCTATCATATAACGCTTAGCAGTTAAAGGCATTTTAGCTGAATCGCAGAGTGATTTTATCATCCACAACTGCTCTATTTATTGGTATAGTGGCTACATTTGTTATGCGAGTAAGCGCTTGACCGCGCGGTCCCCTATCGGTGACGCTACGTACCGGCTCGAATATCACGTGAATTACAAAATATATTACATTTTCGATTTCACAGCAGGACGTTCTCGTCTGGCAACAATTGAAGACGTATTTAATAAATAAAAGGAAAAAGGGCTACGAGCCTAAAACATAAATTGACAAACTGTATGAGTAGTTAAAAAAGTTTTTTTGAAATAAAACTATGTCATAAATTAAAAACGTAAAATATAATTTGACAATCAGAAGGTGAACAAACGTTTCGATCCTAGTTGGATCATTTTCAATGTGACAAATAAATTAGTGTGACAAAGTAAATTAACAACGGTAATTAACAATAGAGTTATAACGTAGATAAAAAACATAAGAGATCAAGTAAAATTCGCATTCGGACGCAAATTAACTATAAAACTCGCTCCAAATTGAGAGGAAATCAAACAAACGATTATAGTTGACAAAAATGTGCTCCTCCGAACCGTATGTGTGTATAAGGACGAACATGTTTTTGTTAGCAAGTATAAATTGTAATAATAAATTAACGGTAGAAGTAAATAAAAATAAAAATAATAAGAACAATAAGAAAAGTACGAATCGAGTCGCAAACAGTAAAAAGGAAAGTACAAATAAGTCGTAAATAATAAGTCAAATTTAAAGAAAGAGGCAAAAATTATCTTTGATATTATAAGACAAGCACATAAGAAAAAAGAGTAAATCGCCAACATGCATTGTATATGTATGATAAGTTTAGAACAAATAAATTCACAATAAATACCTTATGTGTGTGTCGAAATGATGTATTATAGATTAGGCAATGCGAATGGAATCGAAATTGATCGTCTCTCTAAGAAGCTAAGATATAAAGTACGACATATAAAGACAAGAAGGTTGAAATGGAAAACTAGAAAGGGAAGGGGGAAAAAATATTATATTTAATAAAATTGTGAATACTACCATTATATCTATATTTAATCTTAATTTGCGAATTCAGAAAAGACAGCACAGAGCTATTCTCAAAGAAGTAATCTATAATACTTACTTGATATTCCTAATTTTGATCAGTAATTCTCTTGCTGAATCAAACAAAACCGAGAAAGAAGATGATTCAAATAGCTTAAAATTTATTACGAAAATTTGTATAATAAATCATTTGTCTAATAAAGAGCAGTGCGATAAAGACGATTTGTAATTACGCTTGAATAATAATTGATTATTTTTAGAAAATGTTTTATTACATAAAAATTTTGAAATATAAAATTAAAAATTGGTATATTTAAAATTATAAATTAATTTTATAAAAATTAGACAACTATTATAGAAACTCGTCCGCCATTTTGAATTACGAAATTTTGATATAAAATTCGAAATCAGCGATCCGAAAAGCCATAATTTTTCATAATTTTATTAAAATTCTAAATTGAATGAATTTTTTGTCACTTATTCAGGTCTCCTGGTTCATGGTATAGTAGCGAGAAAGTAAGTACATATCTTTAGTAACGTAAAAGTAGCAAAAAATAGCAATTTGTTTTCATGAACCGTATTTATCCAAACAAAACAGAGTCAAAAAAAAATTAATTCTGAGGCCGCACGGACCGGCGTAATGGATTTTTATTGAGTCTTAATCAATTTGAATTAGAAATATTCGCATGAATAACTCTACCACACAAAGTAATGCAAATATTTAAAACAAATAAATGTATAGTATTAGGTGTTGGAATTAATTCGTAGCGTTTTACAAGTGATGGGAAGTACTTTCATTAATGTATTTTTTAATGCTCATGTGAAATAAATAACATTCTTTCATTAAAAAACGCTACGAATTAATTCCAACACCTAATATTATTATTTGTCCATTTTTAAAATCAATATAATTTTATAATTTTATACATTTAACTTGCAGTATGTATATATTAATAGTTTTAATGTTTTTTATATTAAAAATAGCTAAAATTATATATCGCCTGTATTTTGTAATCAAACGGCTGTTCATCACATGCAACCGAAATTTTATTATATAGTTCATTTATATGTTCTCTGAGATATTCTGATGACATATGAAATATTATTTTAAATAAATTTTAAGCACAACTTTTGGCCAAATTTTGAAGTCTCCTGGCCCACTGTGCCGTAAAAAAAGCCTTCTTCTTATTCGCGGAATAAAAAAGTGAGAAGTCCCTAATAAAAAATTCGTTAATTATAAATTAAATACGAAACATCGGATAAAAAAATCGGCAAAAGAGGAAGATTATATACCTGCAGGAAAAATTATTGCATTATCTCTCTCTTCCTTTTGATATTCTTCTTCTTCTCTTTCCATTTCTTCGTCTTCTCTTGTGTACTTCTCCCAACTGAGTTTCCTCCTCTTCCTCCTGTTCTTTCAAGAAAATGATTTTTTTCTTGAATTTTTCACTTTAATTAATGAATAGGAGTACAAATTAGTTCGGTCCGTTTTTTTGTTTTTTAAAAATGCATTTATTTCAAAACAAAATGAATGAATAGATTAATTAAAATATTGTCCATCACTGGCTACTACTTTTCCCCATCTCTCAGGCAATTTTCGAATTCCATGTCGAAAAAATGACTCGTCTTTGGAGGCAATCCAATTTTGGAGCCAATTTTCGATTTCTGCGAAAGAAGTGAACCTTGCCAAATCGTGCTGCATCCTTCGGAACAACCAGTAATCAGAAGGAGCAATGTCCGGAGAATACGGCGGGTGCAGTAAAACATCCCATTTGAGCGTTTCTAAATATTGTTTTACGACTTTTGCGACATGAGGCCGAGCGTTGTCATGAAGAAAAATAACTTTATCATGTCTTTGCTCGTATGTCCGGCCGTTTTTCTCGCAATGCTCAAACGAATCAATTGTAGTCGATACCGATCGCCTGTAATGAAATCGCCAGGTTTCAGCAGCTCATAGTAAACAACACCCTTTTGGTCCTACCAGATACAGAGCATGATCTTCGAACCATGAATGTTCGACTTTGTTGATGTTGAGGTCAATGGCAACGATTGATCGGGCTTAGCGTAGTATTTTTTCTTCTTAAGGTTGTCGTAGAATATCCACTTCTCATCTTCAGTCAATCCGATGCAAAAAATCTTTTTTTTGTTGTCTTTGAATCAGTTGTTCGCAATTGAAAAATCGCCTTTCAACGTCTCTCGGTTTCAGTTCATAAGACATCCAATTTCCTTGTTTTTGAATTATTTCCATGGCTCTCAATCGTGCAGAAACGGCTTGTTGAGTTACTCCCAATGATTCTGCAAGCTTCTCTTGCGTTTGACTCTGATCCTTCGAGTAATACTTCTAATTCTTTGTCTTCGAATTTTTTTGGATGTCCAAAGCGAGGCTTGTCTTCAACGCTGAAATCTCCATCCTTGAAACGTCGAAACCATTCCCTACATGATTTATCAGTTGGAGCAGTGTCACCATAAATTCGACGAGCATTCGATGGACTTCAGCTGTCTTTTCTTCCAATTAAAGCAAAAAATTAGAACCTCCCGTAAATGATGCTTGGTTAACACAAAATTCGATATTTCAAACACAGTAAAAATCAAGGTTTTTTATGAAACTCAAAGCGATATAAACTGAATATTATTGGTAGATGTCTAATCTCTCTGAAAACGCCAAGATCAGCTGTCTATGAACCATTCACAAGCTATCTTTTGGAAGCCATCTTTTGGAAAACGGACCGAACTAATTTGTACTCCCAATACAATTTTTATCTTTTATGAGAGAGAAGACCTCATTCGGCGAAGACATGCTCGGGAGAATTCACATTTTCTTCTGTATCCAAAAGTATTATATTAAGATTCCATCAATTGTTTTATATATTATCAAATTTAGAAATTATTTATAAAAAATTTTTATCCTAAAAATATTAACTCACCCGACAAGAGTTGGATAATCGGAATTTCCGGCCTCTCTTCTTTCAATTTCTGCATTAGAACAATACATGCTCTTTCTGCAAATAATTTTAATGCCACAAAATTACGAAAAATTCAATTTCTAATATTACAATTTTTTAATTTACTTACGCGACGGAACTGCCTCTGGCTCTTCCTCCGCGGAATGTCTCCGTGATTGGGGAAGAGGATTTATCACCGCTATTTTTTATTCAAATATTTTCTTCTAGAATTTATTTTTAAAAGTTATTAGTTAATTTATGCTTATATCATGTTAATCGTATTCAATTTTCAATTTTATTTTGAAATATTGAAACAAAAATGAGATATTCACCTTGGAAATTATGAGTAAGAAAATTCGCGATGTGTCCTTCCACGTTCTCCTCCTCATATCCAAAAATCCGTCGTATTTCCATGGTTTCGATGGCTATACAAAGAATACACTTGTCACTACTAAAGTATCCAATTGGTACAGCACCCCTAATATAGCACTCCTAATACGAATCTGAGCATTCGTAGTTGAAACCGAAATTCGCGTAATTACTTTCCGGAATATCGGATAATCCGGATAAAAATTTCTATGCGTTTATACATGTATTAAGTATCGAATCTAACTTGATACTTCTGCAAATTATTTCTTTCGCCATTTCACTTTTTGCAAAACTGACATTTTACTTTATATGTAACTTTATGTGAAATTTTCTCGGCACACGAGAAGCAAGCTTCACGAAGTGAAGCTCAGAAATGAATTTTTATTAAGATACGTCTATTTATACGGAAAATCCTGCTTACCTTGGAAAGAGGAGTACAGAAAAAAGTTTTGAGAAAGTAACAATTCAATAGTCTCATTGAAAAAATTTTACTGGTTTACCTATCAAGGAGAATAAATTTACCTTTTCTTCTAGTGCACAAACAAAGACACATTCAAAAACCGAAATTAAAAAATTTTTTTGCTTATTACATTCTATTTAATCCTATTAATTATCCTGTTTAGTATACATTTTTTATTAGTTGACTAACCATCAAATAACCCAAAATTTTTCATGCAATCTAAGTTTGAATATTTCTTTTTCCTTAAACAGAATTTTTTTCAAATGTAATACTTTTTTCTAGCTTATTTTTTTACTCGTCCGTAAATGACGGCGGATATACCTCATTACTGATGAAATATTTATAATTTTCAACTTTTTGAAAATTGTACATTCTATAATAATAAATTTATATTTTTGTACATTTTATTACTTATAGAATAAAATTTTGTTATATCAAAGATTTATAATTCACTATTTGTTCGAGATCGGTAATTCGAAAGAAAAGCAAGAATTCTTTCAGTCGATCGACATTAATTGTCATTGAACGCATGCACAAATTGAGCTCGTGATTTCATCTCAAACATGATTTTAATCCTCGTTAAAATCATCAAATTCGTCGTTCTTTGTTCTTTTTAAAAACAATTCGTTTTGCGCAACACGCAAACAAGTTGTCGTTACCGGCAACGGACAATCGAAAGTTCTAGAACGATTCAATTCGCGCACGCGAGCGCCGCGCTCCGACGAATACGTCACGCGCTGTCACCAATCCCACGCACGGATTTTCTGTCGCGCATGACTGTTACGTTGAACGTCGCTAGAAAAGAATCCAAAGCGCCAATCAATTTTGTACACCTAATGCCACGTAATAATTACGATTGTGGCAAATTTTTATTGGATTTTTCCCAAAAGGGAAAGCTCAGGCCGAAAGCAATAAATGCTTCGATCTCGCCGTCCTCCTTCTTACTTCCAAAAAGTTCTTAGAGTTCTTAGAGTCATAATCTCGCTTCGTAAAAATCGCCGTGCTAACCGTTTAGTGAAATCGCTATAAACCGAAACTTTCGAGAAGCTTCGAGGAAAATCGCCGAGATTTTCCATCACCGCGATTCCAAGCTCAATTTGGAAAAGGTGACCGCATTTAATATTCTGTTAATCTGATCTTTAATTAATTATATCTTTTGACTTTGTAAATGAATACATTAAAGAAATTCTTTTGTTAAATTAAATGAAACGGAGTTCTCTTCACTGTCGTGCATCATATCAACCTTGTGCCGTTTTCTCACTCGAACCTCTTTCCGCGCGGTGCGCTCTCGCACACTATTTGACATTGTAATTCTTTATAACTGTTTTCAATTAACGCATGAATATCACAAGTTTGAACATGTTCGTGACATGTTTGAGTATGAAATAATTCCATTATTCAGAGAAAATTCTTTTTTTTTTCCGAAAAAAGAGAACAGAATCATAGTTTCGTGAGAAAGATTCTTCTAGAATATATTTTCTAGAATTTACTATTTAGTTAAATATTATTACGTAAGCAATTTTTTATTAATTTTCAAAGAATATATAAATACAAATTTCAGACAGAGATACGCTGCTTCATTCTCGCTTTCGAAGCGACTACTTCGTGAACAAGTGCTGTGCTATTTGATCTTCGTTTGACATTTTGGACTATTTGTGTCATTCAATATTATATAACGCTGAAGTAAGAGGAATATTCGAACAAAAAGAAGCTAATAATTCAGAGAAAACGGAGTGAATCTACTTTTGTCAAGATCACTATCAGGCCACGCAACGACGAGGATATGGGAAAATTGATTTCATATGTTGTTGTCGACAACGTATGGACTTAACAATTCTCATACAAAGATGGTACATGTGAGATTGCAAAGAACAAACGAAGGAATTTTTAAGTCTTTTGTGAAATTAACTGGAAACAATATGGATGAAATTTATTTCGACGCAGGCTGTTGGTAACAGTTTGTAGACAACGTAGGACTCATGAAGGAATATTTAAGCTGTCGTATCACAATGAAACCAAACCCCGTTGTCATAAAGGATATCCTCATCAACTTTACTACTTCCTATGCCACAAAATCAATACTGCTGACATATAAAGAAGATCAAGAAGTACCTCACTCTATGGGAAATAGCAGTAGAGATCTTCGAAAAGAAATGACAACAACACCGGCGAAGAAATGAAGAACCAATGCGATAATAATTGTAATGCAGGAAATTACCTTTATCAGATTGCAAAGTATTGTAAAATGTGTCAACGTGCATTTGAAATATTTAGAATTTCTGACTGATAACGTTAACAAGTGTGCGCAATATTTAATTAAAGAAATTGAACTAAAACTGCCTGTAAATTATGTTAATAATGAAATTATAAGATTAATGCTAAAAGATAATTAGGACGAAATTGAGCGTAATGTGCGTACACATTAACTACTTAATTTTTCTCGATTCGTATTTTAAAATAATATTTTTAGAATTAATTACATTACATTATAATGAAATTTTTTATTTAATTTTTTCGAACCAAGGATTATAATTCGTGATAAAATTATTATAAAACTTTTTATTTTATTCACTTGATTGAATTATGTATTTTCCTATGATGACGAATTTATATAAATATACATTTTTGTTTTTATATCATAACTTTTGTTTATTTTTACTCGTAACTTCGCCCCCTTTTACAACAAATACCTTTTCCAAGCTTAGATAATGTACATTAAAAACATAAAATATAGAAAAAATTTTTTAAAGCAATGACTGTATCGGAGACATCGTGCTACAAGATAAAGTTGAACATGCTCGTTTCTGTTTCACCTCCCCTTTCTTCCAACTAAAGGTAAGAATCTCTTAGAGACTCGAAAATTGTAGTAAAAGATCCTATTACAAATAATAAAAAAAAACATTTTTACTAAAACATCAATACGTCGGAGACATAGGGTCGTGTCAATAAAAAATGACTGTCATAAAACTAGCTATTCATGTCCGCTGTTTGTACTTTGTCCCCCTTCCCACAACAAAAAATGTTGCGGTCCCAATCTCCACTCATCTTTTTTTCAGACTTCATCCTCCATTTTGTCCTCTTCCATTCCCTTTTCCAATCACATAAAGCAGTGAATTTGTGTTTTTAAAGTAGTAAATTTATGTTTTTAAAACAATGAATTTGTGTTTGTAAATCAATGAATTTGTGTTCATAAAAGAGAGAATTTATTTAACCCTCTATGCCATTGATGTGACAGATTTCTTGAATATCTGTCAAATTAATAGACACTTTTTTTGCCAGATTTGTTCACTTTGTTTGCCAGACACTTTGTTTGTCAGATTTTATGCAAAAACGCGTTGAATGAGACTAATTTTATCAAGATCGGAGATAAGGCCTCTAAGCTTAACAATTACTGTTTTTTAATTAGATTATTCATAAACAAAAGATATGTATATATGCTTAATTTAAGTGTTTTTTAGATTAATAAATTTATTTGTTGTAGAAGGGTTTATTTGTTGTAGAAGTTTAATGTGTATGTGGAAGTGCACAAAGGACATGTATGTACAGTTTAAAAGATGAATCGCTACTCTGCTTAAAATCGTGTACTATGTGCACTTCCACCATTTTGACGTTTCTGAAATCAATTGCGATACTTTATAAATCTAGTGACTTTACGTCGCAGCGCTCGGTGGTATCTCACTTCTCCTCACTTCCGCCAGCGAGAGAGAACTTTCGATTGTGCCTGTCCAAGGCTGCACATGCGGAAAGAAAATGAATACAGATAGACGCAGACTAATGCCGGTAATGCTACTAGATGCTCGTTGGTCATTCTCTCTACTTCCCACTACTTCCTTTAATCACCACCATATGCCAAAGAAAATCGAAATATTACATTCCTTTCGCGACATTACTCTATTTTCCTAACTAAAAAATTATGACCGTTTTTTACAATATCCGTTTCAAGTTCCTTCATATTCGTTTTTTGTAACAATCCTAAGAATGATAAGGTTGCTTAAAAATCTGATGTTAACTTCAGTTGCGTATATGCTTCACATGTTGAAACTATATGCATACTTTGATTACAATTATCTCAAAAACTAGACGGTCAATATGTTTCTAATTGCACACAAACATAAAGAGCACTTCAACTTACTTGTATGTCAAATTTTAACACATTCGTAAGAAAATCGTTTTATGTTAGTATCTTAATAAAAACTAACATTTAGAACATTAGTATGACGATTCTGATTTTTATCGAAAGAATCTTTCCCAAAACGTTTTACTTGTTGATTTCTTCATCGACACATCGACAAGATTCATCAACTTTTATTTCTTAGTCTTATTTAGAGTCTTATACGCTCTACAATCAAAGTACATTCTAAGCAACGATGACATCAATAATTTTAGTTTCTTCAGAAATTTCTTCGGCCTTTTCAATCTGAAATGAAAAATAAATTTTATAAATACATAAAAGATCAAATACTGAAATAATTTAAAATTTACGAAAGACATATCGCTCATTTGCTGCAATAATTGAGTGATATATTTTACCTCCCCCTACAGCACAAAAGTTGCAGCAATATTGCGTGTTGCAGCAATATTGCTGCATGTTCTGTA